ACAAGGCTGTATATTGTATCCCTGCTTATTTAACTTATATGCAGAATACATCATGAGAAAGGCCTGATTGGAGGAATCCCAAGCTGGAATTAAGATTGCCAGAAGAAATATCAACAACCTCCAATATGCAGATGATACCACTCTGATGGCAGAAAGTGAAGAGGAATTAAAGAACCTCTTAATGAGGGTGAAAGAGGAGAGCGCAAAAAACGGTCTGAAGTTCAACATCAAAAAAACCAAGATTATGGCCACTGGTCCCATCACCTCCTGGCAAATAGAAGGGGAAGAGATGGAGACAGTGACAGATTTTACTTTCTTGGGCTCCATGATTACTGCAGATGGTGACAGCAGCCACCAAATTAAAAGACGCCTACTTCTTGGGAGGAAAGTGATGACAAACCTCGACAGCATCTTAAAAAGCAGCGACATCACCTTGCCAACAAAAGTCTGCATAGTCAAAGCTATGGTTTTTCCTGTAGTGATGTATGGAGGTGAGAGCTGGACCATAAAGAAAGCTGATCGCCGAAGAATTGATGCCTTTGAATTGTGGTGCTGGAGGAAGCTCTTGAGAGTACCCTGGACTGCAAGGAGAACAAACCTATCCATTCTAAAGGAAATCAACCATGAGTGCTCACTGGAAGGACAGATCCTGAAGCTGAGGCTCCAATCTCATGAGAAGAGAAGACTCCCTGGAAAAGCCCCTGATGCTAGGAAAGTGTGGAGAAGGGGACGACAGAGGATGAGATGGTTGGACAGTGTCATCAAAGCTACCAACATGAATTTGACCCAGCTCCGGGAGGCAGTGGAAGACAGGAGGGCCTGGCGTGCTCTGGTCCATGGAGACACAAAGAGTCGGACATGACTAAACAACTAAGCAACAACAACATAAATGAGAAAGCAGTTTTACAGAGAACCATAAAATGATCAGCATAGGTGGGAACAGAGGAAGAAAGGATCAGCAGAGGTGGGATCAGAGGAAGGAACAAAAGAAGTGGGGGTTGTGGGCTCAGATACGATTTCTATTGCATCCATTACAAACTATAAACTCCCAAATCACTCTGTAGCCCCTGTGTGAGCATTGATTACAATTTAAAACACAATACAGACTCTGAATCAATAGCAAAAATGAATCATTCCAATCTGGTTTTCCATTATAGTCATATACTGGAAATACTCATATGTAGTAATTCCTGAGAGGGTGTGAACCTTACCTCCTTTTATTGAAAGCAGAGTGCATCGATGCTTGAATAGGCATTGAAGGGGAGAGGAACGAGCTTAGGGAAAGCAAGCTGATATGATACGGTAACGAATAAAGGAGGAGGCCTGGCCAAGAAGGGGGAAAGTTTTGTTTCTTTCCCTGTAGAATGGGGAAGAAAAAATGTGCATTGTGTCAAATGAAATAAATGCTAATTTCCCTTAGAAATCTGTCCCTCCATGTTGCTTTTTAAAAAAAAATTAAAAGGGCAAAGGAAACAAATAGAGAGAAATTCACTCTGAGTCTTAACATGTTCATCATCATCATCATCATCACAACATCAACAACAAAAATTCTGTTTTAGAAAGAGCAAACTTCCTGTCACTGGTGACTACCAGTATTTTGTCATGTTCAAAATCCCCAATTGCCTGAAGGGCTTTAAAAATAGCAATTGTCCCACCACCCCACCCCACTGTCCTGGTTCTGTCTGAAATCCACTGCAGCTCCATCATTTACATTGACCACCATAGGGAAGGCAAGCCTCAAACAGTTCAGTATTTGAACAGTGTGTAAAAGTGGGACTTTTAAAAGAGTGACAGGGAAAGGGGGCTGCTCACTTGATGCTAACCGTGCTAACCTATTTTCTCTCATATGCAAATAAATTAAAGGTAAAGGTAAAGGTTCCCCTTGACAATTTTTGTCGTATTCGACTCTAGGGGGCGGTGCTCATCCCCGTTTCCAAGCCATAGAGCCAGCATTTTTGTCCGAAGACAATCTTCTGTGGTCACATGGCCAGTGTGCCTAGACACGGAACGCCGTTACCTTCCCACCGAGGTGGTCCCTATTTATCTACTTGCATTTGCATGCTTTCGAACCACTAGGTTGGCGGGAGCTAGGACAAGCGACGGGAGCTCACTCCGTCGCGTGGATTCGATCTTACGACTGCTTGGTCTTCTGACCCTGCAGCACAGGCTTCTGCGGTTTATCCCGCAGCACCACCACGTCCCTTGCAAATAAATGAGGTTGTGTGGAAATGTGGTTCCCCTCACAGAAATTTTAAAAGTAAAATCCAAACAGGAACAACTAGAAAGAAAGCAGGTTTAGTAATCCAGGGTTTATATAGAATTGGGATTGGGGAATTGGAGACTGGGGCAATAATGAATAATTGTGATCCCTGTATTTTTTT